GTGTTGTAGCACTACCAAGTTTGCTCTATCAAAGTCGCTGCATCGATCTGAGTATGCCACGTGTAGTTCCCTGCGACCGTTGGAGTGACCTTCTCCTTCGAGCCTCCCATCGTGCTTGTTAACTGGCAAACCAACACTAACACCAGGCGGCTGGTCTGCGCCATATAGAAAATTATCGCAGAAAGAGATGCACTCTGGTGTCAGATAGCCCTGGACGATGCTTCCATCCGGACGGGACATGTTACGAACGAATCATTTGATGATCCCATTCATCCTCTCAAACGACATCATGTTGTTCAGGAATGATGGCCCCAGGTCTATTATGTCGTCCACAATATGGACACACAGATGCACCATCACGTCAAAAGAACGCCAGCGGGAAGTACATCTCAAGCTCATTCAGTATCACAACGATCTCTTCCTGTAACCTTCGGAGCTGCTTCACACTGATCGACTTTCGGGAGATGACGTCGAAAAAGTTGCAGAGACCAATAAGCGTGACAAGGATGTGCTTGTCCATTATCCCTCTAAGGGAGATAGGTAGTATCTGCTTCATCATCACATGGCAGTCATGGGACTTCATCCCGCTGGACTTTTTCTTGTCTGTGTCTACATATCTGGTTATCTTGCTACAGTAACCAAAACTAACTTTGACTCCAGTAAGGCACTTAAATAATTGATCGATCTCAGCCTGACTTAATGTGAAGCAAGAAGGGGGGCAATAATCCTCTTCCTTTATTTTCTTGCCCTTCTTCTCCCGCACCTTTGTCTCTGTCTCTGTCTCGCCTGAATTTTTACGGTGCGGCATGTGCAGATCTTCCCTGATATTCAAATCTTGCAAGTCTTTTCTTGGCTTCGGCCCATCCTTGGTCTTATCCGGCATGTTCATCAGTGTCGCAAGCAAGCTCTCTAGGACATTCTTACAGATATGCATTTGATCAAGGCAATGAGGTGTATCGAGTTTTTGCCAGTACTCCATGTCCCAGAACACAGACCTCGTCTTCCATACCTTCAGCAGTGGCTCCGGCACCTTTTTTATCGTCTTTCCCAGCAGGGGGAAGTGCTTCCAGTTTTTCAACAGCTCATCGATTTTGGCGCTGCTCCGCTTACGTGGAGGTCCTCGATGCTCAGCGTGACCATTGAATAGATCTCCATGGTTTCTCCACGGGTCGTCCGGTTCGAGCCATCTTCGATGCCCCATATACACGATTTCCCCAGACACGCCATCTTTCCTTGACGTTAGCTGCTAAGACGTCGTATAATCCATGCACCGCGTGCATCCGCAATATGCATGGCAGACCTGGCCTGTGACATATCCGTAACCGAGATAGTCGTGCACCATCCTGATCAGCGCGGATCTCATGTAGAAATACTCACCTTTGCGGGCATCCCATGTCTTGGGCGGTGTTTTCCATAACGTGTCTAACTCCTCTTGAAGTAGCCCCAGATATAGATTAATATTATTTCCTGGTTGTTTTGGCCCTTGAATCAGCATGCTCATGTGAATGTACTTCGACTTCATGCACAACCAGGGGGAGGTTGTACATCCATACAAACACGGGCCATGTGCTATGGTTGGTGTTCTGGTTGCCAAACGGATTCATGCCATCGGTACACGCGCCAAGCACGATGTTCCTTGCATCACATTCGAAATACCGACAGAAGATGTTCAACACTCTCCACTGGCTTCCATCATTGATGTGTCTCGGCTTCGGATCATCTCCATCGTCGGGCTTCTTCTCTCCGCGTGCTAGTGCATTAGCTTTGCTTCCTTGGGCTCTACGAAATACCGCTGGAGACGGGGAGTGCTCGGTAAGTACCATACACCTTTCTGGGGAAATTTCTTCCCAGCCTTCTTGTATCGAGAAGCATTGCACATCTGACATCTTGTTTTTTCCGCGTTCTCCTTCCGATTAATTTTGCAATCGTTGATGCATGCATGGTATCTAATGTGCGGCACATCAAGAGGGCACACGATCTTATTGGCCTCATCAACACATAGGACATAGATTCCCCGCGGGAAGAACCTCCTTTATGTACTTGAGATGCTCATCGAGGCTAGTGTCGGTCCATTTGTTTTTAGCCTTCGTCTTCAGGAGTTGGAGTGTGAAACTCAAGCGGGTTTTTTAAAGAACCATCAAGGTCGCAGGTTTCCTTCTCTAGTACAACTGCAAGTACGCTCGGTTTTTTAAACCGTGCGTGCAGCTAGTATCCCTCCCCTTATTCTCTATCGCCATGAAGGTGGAAGGACTGAGGAGGCTAGATTGATCTGTCAGCCTCTCGGATATGTCATTACAACACCGCCGGCGGTCAGTCATAGCTGACGCATATTGTCGTCACCAATTTCGTAGCACCACCCCATGCGCTCTCAACACCGGTGAAAAGTCGTCGGCCTTGCGGGTTACAACATGCTCCCTGGCTGATTGCAACTTCTAGCATTGTCGACCTTAGCTTTCTCCCACACCAGTCATAGCTTCCATGGGCAGTCGTGTGGGGATGACGTGATCTTGGTTGAGGCGACCGATCAGGAGTCATATCGGTCGATCAAGTTACTATGTTTTTATTTAACCAGCCATCCAGGTTGCAAGTTTCCTTTTTCTGATATGACTGCAAGTATGGTCAGTTTTTTGAACTGTGGTGTAGCTGGGATACCCTCGGGATACCCTCCCCTTATACTCTATCACCATGGATATGTCATTACAACACCGTCGACGGGTGGTGGCAGCTGACGCATATCATCGTCGCCACTTTGTAGCACCACCACTTGTGCTCTCAGCATCAATCAAAAGTCGCCAGCCTCGTTGGTCACAACATGTTCCTGGACGGGTCGCAACTTCTACCATTGATGTTAGTCGTAGTTTTGTCCCACACTGGTCATAGCCTCCATTGGAAGGCGTGTGGGAATGATACGATCTTGGTCGAGACGACCGATCAGGAGCGGGATCTGCCAGCCGATCGCCGCTGTTAGAGCGAGAAACTATGTTATAGGTTATTTAGCACATGTTACGTAAACCAATTTTATAAAGCCATTACTATTTATCTATATCTAATTTCCCTTTCAATCAATAAAATAATAAATACAATATACTCTATTTTTCCATGCCAAAGACACTTTCTGGAAAATTTATATTCCAAACAAATTAATATATGTAACAATGTCCCGGTTCTTCCAAAACAATTTCCCTCCAGTTCTCCTTGATAAAAAAAATAATATATCCAAATTTCCCTCCAGTTCTCGACCATGGCGCTTACTTTTTCCTTCAATTACTTTCGCGCTTACTTTTCCCTCCAACTAACTAGAAAACGTTAGATAAATTGGGTCATGAACCCATCCACATCCAGCCCAGCCGCCACAGTTCGGCGGCTGCCTCGCCGCACTCCAAC